CATATTAGTACCTCAAGTGTGCATATTAGTACCTCAAGTGTGCATATTGTATATATTAGTCCCTAAAATGTGCATATTAGTACCTAAAGTGTGCATATTAGTACCTCAAGTGTGCATATTGTATATATTAGTCCCTAAAATGTGCATATTAGTACCTAAAGTGTGCATATTAGTACCTCAAGTGTGCATATAAAGTCTGTATATTTACAAAAGTGTACCTTTTGATAAGGTACCATCCCAGTGACAACTTCTGTACCATTTTTCTGAGAGTGTAGTGAGAGTGTATAGGACAACTATTCACTCATTTGTGTCTATTTATATTTCTACTTTTGATCATAAAACATAATGGAAAGTCTTTTGAGCTATAAAAGAGCATCCTCCAAGCAGTAAAAGTTTGATCTGACCTCCTTAGCTTCTATTTTGAGCACTGTTTTTGTACAAATTTCTTTTAAAATCTTTTTTTTTCTAAACATTTAAGTAAGTGCAGACTCTAGTTGTAATATTTTTTAAGTTCATTTGAGATCAGCATGGAAATGTATCAGGCAGTTGAGTTGTCCCTGTTAAGGGGCAACGTGTGTTTGTGTAGCATCGGACATCACTGTGACATCTGGCTGTGTAAACATGTAATCAAGCCCTCAGAGGTGATCAGGTGTTGAGAGGAAATGTCTGTCAGATCCGTGCGTGTGTGTGAGTTTCCTTCTGATAGCCTCATCTGTAATAAAACAACAGACAAACAGCACTCAACCAGACTACGCAAATCTACACCCAGCTAACGTCAAACATCATCAGCAATCATCATCAGGTGATCAGACCGTTTCCGCTTGCTGGAAGATAAAACTCTGCAAAAAACTTACACTGACGGAAGAATACAAGCAGTATCACTGACTTAGCAACCCTAGCAAAACCACTCAGAATATCCTAACAACCACATATCAATGCACTGTCGACCCTGTGGAATGCCTTAGAATTGTGTCAGTGTGTTTTGCATTGGTAAGCTAACTTTTTAATAGCAAATATGCCTTATAAACAGTATTTAAGTGTTAAAGCTCTGTGCCATTTTAACTGTCTTTCTACATTTCACAACTAATTTATTCACAAGCTAGTAGCTAATTTAAGCAGTGTACAGCACAGCTGGTTGCTCTTATGTCTATAGGACTGAGCTTAAAGTGTGTGTGTGTGTGTGTGTGTGTGTGTGTGTGTGTTTTCTAAAAGTCCATATAGGACAAAAAGAATCCATGGTTGATTGTGTGTGTGTGTGTGTCTGTGTGTGTGTGTGTGTGTGTCAGGCACAGCAGCAGTAATACACATGTTCTCACTTAACTGCTCACAACTTTAACCAGCCCTAAAGAGCCTCCTGAGAGACTCAAACACCTCATTTGGTTAAAGTTATTGATGGTGAGAACGAGCAAAACAAATGTGTCAGTGATCAACATGTGATCCCAGAGGAACATGTTACTGCTCCACCATATCCACGTTATCTCAGATGTCTCTCCTGAAAGAAGTAAAAATAGACACAAATGAGACACGGTACGAGTACAGAGCTGTAAAATGAATGTGGAGCAGCTGAATTTGATGAGAAATGTTTGAAATTTCTGACTTTTGATTGCATGTCGATTACCTTGCGCAAATCTGAAAAATGTC